CTCATGCCTGTAATCCCAGCACTTTGGGAGGCTAAGGTGGGTGGATCCCCTGAGGTCAGGAGTTTGAGTTGACCGGCCTCGTCAACATGGTGAAACCCTGTCTCTACTAAAAATACAAAAATTAGCCAGGTGTGGTGGCAGGTGCCTGTAATCGCAGCTACTCACTAGGCTGAGGAGGGAGAATTGCTTGAGCCCAGGAGGTAGTGGTTACAGTAAGCCAAGATCACGTCACTGCACTCCAGGTTGGGCAACAAGAGTGAAACTCCATCTCAAATAATAATACTAATAATAATAATAAATTAATTTTTTAAAAAGTTCTGTGGATGATGACGGTTGAACAACAATGTGAATATAGATAATGCCACTGAAATGTATATTTTAAAGTGGTTATGATGGTAAACTCTATGTTATATGAATTTTGCCACAGTAAAAAAATTTAAATCAAGTTTCAGGGGATTCTTAAATGAAAGCGAGTGTACTCTTCAAGATAAACTTAGAAAATGCCGACTTTAAAATAAAGAGAAAGTTTATTAATGGCCTATACATACCAAAAGTAATTAACTATAACAGTGTTATCTCTTTCTACTTAGTAAAATGTATACATTAAGTTACAACAGAGAAAGAAATAAACTGGCAGGATGCAGGCACACACTCACTGCCCCCCACCAATTAACAATAATGTAAAATAGAAATCAATTCTGAAGACAGGCATCTAGAACCATGTCTATAAAGAACTCTGGATTACAAAGTAAAAACACACTTCTGCACAGATTCGTCTAAGTCAGTGATTTTCAATGGGGGTAGGGGAGGGCATTTTACACCCTCGCCCCCAGGAGATTGTTGGTTATTGTAACACAGGTCGTGGGAGGTGCTACTGGCATCTAGTAGGTAGAGGCCAAGAATGTTGCTAAACATCCCACAATGCACAGGACAGCACCCACAATAAGGAATTATTAGGCCCAAAGTGTCAACAGTGCTGAGGTTGAGAAATCCCTTAGGAAAATTCTCAATAATCCAACTGAGGTCTAAAAGCCCTTTTAGAGCATCTGTCAATAACACGCATGCCATTAATTTTACATATGCCTTACAGAGACATGGATAAACTATTTCCTTTGGTAAGGAGTGTCAGTATAACAACTGCAAAAAATGATTTTATACAGAATATGTACTGATATGTTACTCTGTTTTTAAACTCTATTAAGAACAATGTGTAAGCCATGTGATCTTGCTGTCATGAAAATAACCCTAAGGAGGATAACTGTATCTAATAAATATTTGTGGATGACAGGAATCAAAAGCATTCACACTTACTTCTAATCTGGTTGAACAGGGCTTCAAAAGTTTGACACCTGTGCATGAACCTAAATTTAAATTATTGACAGATATTATTAACCATCTCATCGCTACTGGTGGCATAATTTTAAGAGCCATGAATTTTATAAGCCAAAAATAATTTTCATTTCACTATTCTTATTGCTAGTGACCAAAATGCAACTTTGTATTAATGGTAGTTTTTAAGACATATCAAATAACTAGGGAATGTGCATTTATTGTTCTTCTGAATGTACTTTTAGATATCAATTGTGGGAAATGTGATTTGCATGAATGACATTTATCAATTTACTTCCTACATAATTCCACAAATTGTCTTGACATAAAAGAACTAATGAGTTTGAGAACAGCCTGACCAACATGGTAAAACCCCGTCTCTATTAAAAATACAAAAATTAGCTGGGCGTGGTGGTGGGTGCCTGTAATCCCAGTGACTCAGGAAGCTGAGGCAGGAGAATCACTTGAAACCGGGAGGCGGAGGTTACAGAGAGCTGAGATCGCACCACTGCACTCCAGCCTGGGCGACAGAGTGAAACTCCATCTCAAAAAAAAAAAAGAATTATTGATTAATGTCAGTAGTCAGTCTATTTTATCTCATTACTACTCCCACCTTGATTTGTTCTGAAAATCTTTTAAACATATAAAATTAACATTAGGTTGTAAAATGCAGCAGTCATGTCTTTCCTTTGTTTACATTGGCTAGATGAGAAATTAAACCTTACCTTTATGACACACGTGTGTGCATGTGCACGTATGTGTGGAGTTTGAAACCTATGCCATGTCAAAGTTTCAGAAAAAGCTACATATGGCAGTAAAACAAAAATGTAAAAGAAAAAGACAAAAGAAATAAAGACAAGACTAAAAATTTATTGCTCCAATAAGAATATAAAGAATTTTTACTTTTCTCTGAGCAGAGAAGTACATCTATTTATAACTTTAAGTTGGTTAATTTTATTATCTTCATTAAAGAAAATCAGGGTAACAAATCTAAGTCTGCTTATAAACCAAGTCTCATAGACTTATCAACTTCTGGTGAAACAGTATATGTTAAAATACTAACTTTTAATATGTATTCTATAAAAATTATTTTAATAATAGTCTCAGACATAGTATCTGTAAGAAATATACTTCAGGTCGGGCGTGGTGGCTCACGCTTGTAATCCCAGCACTTTGGGAGGCCGAAGCTGGTGGATCAACTAACATTAGCAGTTCAGGACCAGCCTGGCCAACCTCGTTTCTACTAAAAATACAAAAATTAGTTGGGCATGGTGGCGCATGCCTGTAGTCCTAACTACTTGGGAAGCTGAGGCAGGAGAATAGCTTGAACCTGGAAGGTGGAGGTTGCAGTGAGCCGAGATCACACCACCACCCTCTAGCCTGGGCGACAGAGTGAGACTCAGTTTAAAAAAAAAAAGAAATGTACTTCATATGAAAATATTCTTATTTCTTTTGGCCATTGCTTTTTAAACCATGGACAGACAGCACTTTTTAATTTGCAAAATCATGAATGGGAAGGCTTCTGAAGTGCTTCACAGACTCTAACATATAGCAGGGCTCTTACCCACACAGTGACCGCCTGTGTCTTAAACAAATGAGCTGGCAGGAAAAAAATGCTGCCTTACATTTCGATAGTGATGTGCAATTCACAAAGTAATTTCAAATAATTTTTATAATGCAATTTACCCACCAATCTATCAGATAAGTAGAATAGATAATTATTTTGCAGATGAGGAGCAAGAAGCTCAGGGCTTACAGCTAGCTAATAAAGGGAACCAACACCAGAAATAAAAGCCAGGTGTTTCTTACTCAATCTGGTCATCTTCCTACTAGACATAGAGCTAATACATCACATGAAGAAATAGTTCAAAGTGACAAGAGAAACTGTTCAAATTATAATGTAAGTTCCTGCTCAAAAATGACAAAAATTGCCATTTTTCAGAAATATAACTGCTTTGATAATGTCTTAGAAAGACAGACCGATTAATGTTTGGCTACACACCCACTTGAATCTGCTTAAATCACACAGCAACATGTCAGAGAGGTAACACGTAGCATGCGATACGTCCTCATTTTTATCCTGAGAGCCAAGAGAATTGCATATGTTGAAATGTAAAGCCAGTGTTCTATCAGATCATTATTTGGCTTTTCAAAAACAGAATGTTTCAGGTGCTTCCAAAACTAATTGTTTAATACAGCATTTAAGATCCTCCACAATAATTTCTAAAACATCCATTTAGACAGTCTACATACCAGTTCCATGAGACAACACTGACTTCTCACATCTTTTGCCTTTGCTTACAATGTATTCCTTGCCCTAGAATATCTCTCTTCCCATCTTCAAGCAACTGAATTCTTACCAATTAAGGTCAGGCTTAAATGCCATCATTTTCCTAATAAATTACTCCTTTGCCAAGATTCCAAAAAGTAATGATCACAGTTCGTACTTTATCCTCTATTATAATAGCGTGAGTGGTTTGGGACTCCAAGATTTTTAGCTCCTTAACTGTAGGAATTGTCTTAAAATTGACAAAATCAATCATCCCAAGTGGCACCTAGCAAAGCAGAGGAATTAAAAATATAACTGCTGTCCAGTCTGACACTATCCACTTACATGCCCAGCGCTGCCTGCCTTTACACACTCCCTGCACGCTGTGCAAGCACCCCGTCCTGACACAAACTTCCCTGACCACAGCTCTGCCTTGACACTTCAACCAGGAGTTCGGCCATGGTCCTGCTTCCGAACCAGCCTGCTGGGTCCCACTGTCTTGGGCAGCCTTCCTACCTGTCTTAAATGTCAAGTACTTTCAATAAAGTGTAAATTATCAAATTGTTGACTTTTCAAACTTTATATCAACATTTAGATTGAAGCAGAGGGTAAAGAAACTGAAACTCTGAGAAGGCTCATTCCATTTATTTTTATACAGTGACAGATCTGAACTACTACTGTGGATTAACCAAAACACATTCCAAATAAATGGAGACAGTAACATTTGCTGATATACACATATGTAAAAAGGCATTATTTTCAGAGTGACTTAGTATTTTCAATGTTTCTTAATAAGTGTGAGATGTATCTTTACTGGTTTAGAGCAATAAATAAGTTACAAAAACATTTTATAATAACTGCAAGTGAAAAACACCAAATTATCACAGGAACTTAAAATCTTGTGCTATTTTTCCACATCTGAATTTAGTTAACATATACTTCAAATAAGCAAAGCACTGCCCAGTAAATAATTCAAATACTCCTATGGCTATTCATTAAATAACCTATCCACAGGCCATGAATGTTCCTTTTATAGAAGAAATATACATAATATACTCAAGACTTCAGCTCAAAGGAAAGATTTATATCTCCAATCTGGTGGCTATTTGTTGCTACATATAAAAGTCCTATTTTCTCTCTCCTCCAGAAGACAAATACCACTTTCAGGAAAAAGATGGAAATGTTGAAAAGGAAGAAAGAGAGTCCTGAAATTTCAATTATAAAAATACTGATGATATGAACACGTGATCTCACTTCCTCAACACATCTTCAATGAATTAGCCCTTTTAAAATATGTAAAAATCATTGCTTTCAGATAATTTTCTGATCAAAGGCAATTGCTAATAATAATGATAACAGACACCCAAAACTTATATGCCACATTATCTAAATAATCTTTTACCTTTTTTCGTTCCTGTTCCCTCTGCTGGAGTTTGTAGACTGACTCATTAGCTGCTCGCACTGAAATAAAAAAGACAAGGGTTTTCAGTCAGCAGACTGTGTTCAAGAAAACACATACCTAGGGGAGGACTGTGTGTGGAGAGTATGTGGATTGTTTTAGATCTCAAAAAAACTATACAGAAAACTGATATTATTTTTATGGTAGTGGGATGGCCAGAGGGGAAAATTAAGTTTTACCAATATATTCAGGATGTCATAATTAGTATAACCATAATTCTGGAGCTTCGAGCTACAAGCTGAAGGGCATTTAAATACTAACTCCAATGGCAAACTGTCTACAACCACCTCAGAATTCTCCAAAAAGACATAAAATGCCTGATAAATTTATCAAAGCATTCTGATTACGATGTTACATTGTCTGCCTGTCCCCACCGTCCACCTTTTTCTCATTCATACTCCTACTCTGTCACAGGCAGTACCTGAAAACTACATTAGTTTAGCAACTTTCCTCTATTCTTGCCTGTGTTCTCTTCTCTTCTAATTTATCCCGGCTGCCACTGCAAGATTCAACTTCCTCTGGACCATCTCCATTAAGTCATTTCTCTCTCTTAAGAACTAAACTGCTAGTAACAATTATTGTAATTATTTATTGAGTATTTACTAAGTGCTAAGACCTATGTATTATCCCTCCTTTGTATTTATTTTTGTTCTGAGACTCAGTCTCGCTCTGTTGCCCAGGCTGTTGTGCAGTGGCGTGGTTTTGGCTCACTTCAACCTCCACCTCCCAGGTTCAAGCAATTCTCCTGCCTCAGCCTCCCAAGTAGCTGAGATCACAGGCGCCTGCCACCATGTCCAGCTAATTTTTTTGTATTTTTAGTAGAGACAGGGTTTTACCATGTTGGCCAGACTGGTCTTGAACTCCTGACCTCATGATCCGCCTGCTTCGGCCACCCAATGTGCTGGGATTACAGGCATGAGCCCCTGTGCCCAGCCTGTATTATCCCTCTTAATCTCACTTTCCTATTAGGAAATGATCACTATTCCATTTTACAGATGACAAAACTGAGGTACAGAAAGGTGAAGCTGTCAATCAAGGTGGTTATAAAACTAATAAACATAAGAAACAGGATTTCAAATCAGATCTTTCTGGCTCTAAAGACCTGGCTCTTACCATCAACACTCCACTGCCTCTTTAATTATTTCATCAATGAAACCAGGTGTAATTATTCAGTTATTTAAACCTTTTCATCTGCCAGATGCATTTTTTTCTGTTCATAAACGTTCACACTTACTTCATCCAAATAAAGACATGTAGTGTGCAGGCTAAAAGTAAGCCTTAGTCAGTGAAATTTAGGCTCAAGCACTCAGTCGTGTGAATGATACTGGACATGTTTGCTCGCTCATTTATTCACTTGTCAAGTGTTTACTGAGCATTTGCTTTCTGCCAGGCACTGTTCTTGGTGGTGCTCCTATCTCTCGGCACCTTAGTTACTAATCTGTAAAATGAACATAACAACTAATAATAGGGTTTCAGAAGTGACACAAAATTTAAATGAGAACACGGTACATACTATGCTTAAAAGTAAATAGTTTCAATATTAATAATGATAACCTCTTAGAGAAGTTCTTTACATAAAATAAGCAGTCAGTCAGGCCGGCTGCAGTGGCTCACTCCTCTAATCCCATCACTTTGGGAGGCCAAGGTGGGGGCGATCACCAGAGGTCAGGAGTTCAAGACCAGCCTGGCCAACATGGTAAAATGCTGTCTCTACTAAAAATGCAGAAATTAACTGGGCATGGTGGCGCATGCCTGTAATCCCAGCTACTTGGGCGGCTAAGGCCGGAAAATTGCTTGAACCTGGGAGGCAGGAGTTGCAATGAGTGGAGACAGCACTACTACATTCCAGCCTGGGCAACAGAGCGAGACTCCACCTCAAAAAATAAATAAATAAATGTATATATAATAAGCAGCAAAGAAATGTTCACTGTTATCAATATTCTATTTATTGTACTATCACTAAATAAAATCTTTTCCTTATTTCTTTCCACTAATTAAACTGTTTTGTTTCAAAAGTCCAGTTCAAGGTTTATTGTCTTCATAAAGCTCTCCTGATTAGTCCCTTCCCTCTGAGGATTTTCCCTATTTAAATTCCTTTATCGGGTGTGTGTGCATCCTACCATTTACTAATATCTTGCATTTGTTGAAATTGGAGGTTTGTCTAATTGTTTTACAATTATGTCTTCCTACCCTACCCCAATCCGGCCCCAACTAGGTCACAAGTTCCACAACAGGCCAGAGACTGTGGTTTCTCTGAAAGAGAAACTTTAGGCCTCTCCCTCTGGGAATATGGCAAAAGAGAAGAATTTTGTTTTCAAAAAGTTGTGTTTTTACCAGTAAGCATTAATTTTAGCTATATCAAAGATAATATTTAAGTACTGAAAATTAGGTTCCCAATCATTGTTTTGTTCTAAAAGAAAATATTAAAACAAAACAGGAGTTGATTAGATCTGCCTTCTTTCTGTGGCATATTAATATTACGTCATCTTTCCCAAGCAGTGCTTCTATCACTTCCTGGGTTCTTTTTTTTTTCCGCCACTGGATCTATGAACATTACTTAAAATCCATTTGGCAGTTAAGAGCTTCATCATTTTCAGAAGATTCTGAGACTAACCTAAAAGAAGAGTTATAGGCCTCTGCCTCTTATTTTGTCATTTGCTACGTCCTTTAAAATTGTAACCAGAACACATCTGACAAAGGTGCACTTTTGCTCCTCAGCAGCATTGTTAGGTTTAGACAGAATATCCACTTTTAGAAACTACAGTACTTTTGAAGCAATTCATTTTTAACGCTTTAGGCACACAACAGAAAAGGTTTACTTTCTGAATTTATGAAATTTCCTTTTCTAAAATCGAAGAAAGTCACCAGATTGCACTAAACATTCCCTTTCTGAACAATTAGTGACACCAAGAAGGCTCATTTCTCTGAACCTTCCTATCACATCTGCATTACTTACTGGCTATAACTCAGTATGAAGCCATTTCCCCTATTGTCTCACTGTTTTAGGAGACTATATTGACTTAAAAAAAAAAGTCAAGAATTGATTACTTTTCTCTCAACCAAAAGATTATTCAAGTAAATTTGTGTCACGTACCACAGTTAACAATGCCCTATTTTTGTCACATAAAAGAGAAACAAATTCATGCTATCACGGTATCTGTAAATAAACCTTAAATACATACATAAGAAAATAATTTCAGGTCTTCCAGTTCTAAAATGTGCGTACAGAAGCGAGCTAGCTTCATTCTCCACCACAGAAAACCAAACTCAAGTACATAGCACCAGCAATACCCCAGAACTCAAACATGAGGATGAGACAGTTCTCAGGGCCACAGAGAAATGAGAAAACTCTGAGGAGACAGGAGCAGAAATGGACTTCCATCTCTGTATCATTCCTTCCCCAACCTGCCTTGACACCAAGCACATGGGAAATTTCCCCAACTCATGGTTTCTACACAAAAAGTGGGATCATGGTGGATGACCAGCTTCCCCATCATCTTGGGCTCTCTGGCAGAAGAAATGTCCCTGCCTTAACCCATGGAAAACACTATGATACCTGAGGGCAGACATATCCTCGAGGACAGCCAGAGAAAAAAAAGGAGGTGCCAATTCCATCTGCAGCCCTAGAAACTCTGCTCTGTAACTCAGCCAAAGGAGACACCAAATGAAAGTGGCTGCTCAGCAGCACCACACTGCAGGAGGTTCGTTCCACAGGTCCCCTGGGCAGGGAGGCTGCCTAGCCAGCCTTCCCACACTAACAGAATATCCCTTTGGGGACCTCCCCCATTCAACGTGAGTGGCATTCGATTGTTTACTAGAACTAAGGCAGACTTGGGTTTAAGGCAAGTCTAGTGCTGAAAAGAAGCAGTGACCTACTGAAAGAAAAGAAGAAATCTACAGGTAAAATACAAAGAATCTCTAAGTAAATGTATCCAATAAAAACAGAAATAAGACCAGGAGATAGGAATAAATAAACAATGTTTCAATGCAAAGACACAGGTGTACATCCACAAGAAAAACAGCAAACAGAGAAGAGGACCTCCCTAAACAAAGTGAGACGCAATATATTAACTCTCTGACCTACAATGCAAAATAGCAGTTTTTTTTTAATAATAAAATATTTATTGCATTTTAGGTTTTGGGGTACATGTGAAGAACATGCAAGATAGTTGCATAGGTACACATGTAGCAGTGTGATTTGCTGCCTTCCTCCCCTTCACCTATGTCTGGCATTTCTCCCCATGCTATCTTTCCCCAACTCCCCACCCCCCAAGCTGTCCCTCCCCTATTTCCCCCAACATACCCCAGGGTGTAATGCTCCCCTCCCTGTGTCCATGTGTTCTCATTGTTCAACAGCAATCTCCAGAATAACACAGAAAAGTAATTCAGAAATTTAACAAAGAGATTAATTTTTTTTTTGAGACAGAGTCTCGCTCTGTCGCCAAGACTAGAGCACAGTAGCACAATCTTGACTCACTGCAACCTCCACCTCCTGGGTTCAAGTGATTCTCCTGCCTCAGCCTCCTGAGTAGCTGGGATTACAGGTGCCCAACACATCCAGCTAATTTTTGTATTTTTAGTAGAGATGGAGTTTCACCATGTTGGTCAGGCTGGTCTCGAACTCCTGACCTCATAATCCACCTGACTCAGCCTCCCAAAGTGTTGGGATTACAGGTGTCAGCCACCACGCCCAACCACATTAAAATAATTTTTAAAAAATCAAACAGAAATCTTGGAACTAAGAAATACATTTGCTGAACTAAAAAATTAATTAGAGACTCTCAACAGTAGAATGAATCAAGTAGAGGAGAGTCAGTGAGCTCAAAGTAAGTCCATTGGAAACTACAGTCACAGGGGAAACAAAAAAAAGAAAAAACAAAAAGGAATGAAGATATAGAAAATTACCTCAAAAGACCAAATCTAAGAATGACTGGTATTCAAGAGGGAGCAGAGCAAGAGAGAAGCATAGAATGTTTATTCAAAATAATAATAATAATAACAG